GAGTCATAGAATGTCCTGAGTTGGAAGGGACCCATAAGGATCATCGAGTCCAACTCCTGGCTCCACACAGGACCAGCTGAATCAGACCCTATGACTGAGAACGTTGTCCAGACGCTTCTTGAACTCAGTCAAGCTTGGTGCTGTGACCACTTCCCTGGGGAGCCTGTTCCAGTGCCCAACCACCCTCTTGGTGAAGAACCTTTTCCTGATATCCAACCTAAACCTCCCCCGTTGCAGCTTCATGCCGTTCCCTCGGGTTCTGTCGCTGGTCACCAGAGGAAGGAGATCAGCGCCTGCCCCTTCGCTCCCCCTCGCGCGGAAGCTGTAGGCGGGGAGTGATGAGGTCTCCCCTCAGTCTCCTCTTCTCCAGGCTGAACACACCAAGGGACTTCAGCCTCTCCTCATACATCTTCCCTTCTAGATCACTCACCATCTTTGTTGCCCTCCTTTGGACACTCTCCAATAGTTTTATGTCCTTTTTGTACTGTGGTGCCCAAAACTGCATTCGAGGTGAGGCCTCATCAGCGCAGTGTAGAGTGGGACAATCACTTCCCTAGACCGGTGAGCAATGCCGTGCTTGATGCACCGCAGGATACAATTGGCAGAAACATAGAGGAAAACCAACATTCTCTTTATAGTCTGTGTAACTCAGCAGAATATGGAATGCAAAAATAACATTAAAAAATACAAGTTAAATGTCTTGACATCTACAGGCTGTGTTTATTATCTAGTTTTAAACCGGAATATTTGTCAGTTATTCCAACTTTAGGACCGCTGTTTGTGAAAACAATACAAACTGAAAAATCTAACAAATTTCTGAAAGGATTTTATATAGAGGAAGTAATTTTTAAAGGGAAAACTTTATTTATTATCACTTATTCTCTATTTATTATCACTTGAAAAAATGGACACCATAAAGAATATAATGACAATTCCCTACTATAGCAAAATAGAGGTTAGAATTTAGGCCTCTTCTCTCAAAGAAACAGTTGCTGTTATCCAGATCATTAGGACATTTGCAGACATTTTTCATAGGAAAATACAGATTTCAAACTTTTCTGTTTAATGTTTGTCTGTGGGAAGTATGTATCTACCCCGCAAGTGCAGTAAAACCTCAAATCAGTTTGGAAGTAAGCGTAGTGTATAGCAGAACACTTCAGCCTGTACATAACAGTACACAAACTGAAATGTGCTTACACATTAAAATTAAAGCTATATGGATATAATCTTTAAGTAACTTGCAGGGTCCAGTTAACAGCCATGGCCTATGGCAAACTTTCAGTGTTCTTAGCAACAAAGAATTTCAGAACAATGCCGAGTTTTATAGCTGAAATTGAGAATGTTTACCTAATTGTTCATCAAAAAGAAAGCTTTCCTTACATAGGAATATTATAAGCATAATTTGAAGGATTTTAAAGGACCACATCTTTATTATTAGTTGCTTATGTTTTTGTCTGATATTCTTCCTTTTCCATAGATTTTGTATAAAAGTTACTTCAAAGATGAATCATCTGCTAGTTGGTAATTCAGGAAGAGACATTAAATATGTCACAGTTAAACAGTATCTGTGGTGTTGATTTTAATTTTTTAAAGAAGGACACTTGTTGGATTTTGCAAAATTTTGAAGGTTAGCAAACAGTAGTTGGACTTGTTGATTCAAAAGTGGTTCCCATTTTCTGTATGTTCCAACCCACACTGACAGGTTCACTGAAGTAATTTCCTTCAAAAGTTCTGCAAAGGATCATGGACATGAAAAAATATGTATTGTCACAAATCAGTTAGACTCTACAACAAGGCATGCACAAATTTTTGGGAAGCTCAAGCTCCAAGTTCTGGGGAAGATCTTTATGACATCTAGTCCATCCTTCTGTGAAAATTGGGGATAAATTCAATGCTAGAACAGGTAGCTTAGGGCATCATTTGTCAAGTTTTAAGAATCTCCAGGGATGGAGATTTCACAGTCCCTTTAGACAAGCTGTTCTAATTTCCATATGTCCAACTGGAATTTCTCATGTAGCAACTTAAAATGAGTTGCCTCCATTTCTTTCACTGCATCTCACAGAAAGGTTAGACTTTATCTTCTCTGTAACCTTTAGGTAGTGGAAGATTACTATTAGATCACTTCTTAATTGCCTTATCCTCAAGTTGAACAATCTGAGTTCGTTCAAGTGATCTTCATATATCAGGTGTTGGGGCTCCCTGATGATATTAGTGGCTGAACTCTTTTCAGTTTGTTGACATTTCTTTTGTATTATTGATAGAAAAGAAGCAAAACTGGACATAGTATCCCAGATGTAGGCTCATCAATGCCAAGTAGAGGGGATTAAGCACATCCTTCAGTCTGCTAGCTATGCGCATGCTAATGCACTCCAGTAGGCATTATTGCCACAAGGATGCACTGGTGACTTTGTTCAATTTGCTGCCTACCAGAATCCCCAAGTCCTTTTTCACAAAGCAGCTATGCAGTCAGTCAGCCCCAGCCTATAGCGATCCATGGGTTTTCTTGTGTGTTTCACGATCCATCATAATCCTGTGTATTTGACACGTTTTCCTTGAACTTCAGAAGGTTCCTGATGACCTGTTCCTCACTTGCTGAGGTTTCTTTAGATAATCCAGCTATACTTGGGGGGGGG